AAAAAAAAAAACCAAGCTATAGTATGTACATGTAACCATTCTCCAAGATGATTGTAAACTGCATGTACTGCAAACATGTACTAATATAATAAAATTTTAAAAAGCAAAAAAAATTGTTGAAAAATATCTTACATGGAAATATGTTCCCAATATATTATTATATAAAATAAAATAAACCCATTACAAAACAATGAGTTAAGTAACTTTTTTTTTCCACACCAGGAAAAGTAAGACTGTCTTTGGAAATACTAGAAATTATTATCTTGATACTAGGATGATGGTTTATTTTTATTCTTTGTGCTTTTTCTCTATTTCCAATTTTTTTGATATAAATATTTTCTATTAGGAGTAGAATTATTGGAAGATAAGCAGTGTATATGATGAGCTTTAATGAATATGACCAAAGTTTTCTGAAGTGGTTTTACATTTCTGTAAGCAATCTATAAGAATTCAGGTTTGGATAGCCAGGCAAGGTGGCAGATGCTTGTAATCCTAGCACTTCAGAAGGCTGAGACAGAAGGATCCCAAGTTTTAGCCCAGCCTGGACAACTTAGTGACTTGGTGAGACCCTGTCTAAAAAAAAAAAAAAAAGGAATGAAAGAAAATTTTAAAAGAGCTGGCATTATAGCTTAGTGCAAAGGCTTTGGGTTCAATCCCCAATATTGGGAGGGGGGAGATAGAACAATTCTTTTTTCTTTTTTTTCCCCCTTGTGGTACCAAGGATTGAAACCAGTAAACATTGAGCTACATTCCCAGCACTTTTTTATGATATTTTGAGACGGGGGTCTCAGTGAGTTGCTAAATTGCCCTGACTGTCCTCAAATTTGTCATCCTCCTGCCTCAGCCTCCCAAGTAGCTAGGATTACCACCATACCTGGCATAGAGCAACACATTTTTAAACAATCAGCATCTAGCAAACAGCCACTGTTTTCAACCTATTGGTTCATAATTACAATAATTAATTAAGCAAAAGTTAGAAATAAGTACTAGCACTATCTTAAATACATATAATTAGTGCTATAGCTTGGGTCTGGAATGCCTCCCAGAGGCCAATGTGTCAAAGGCCTAGTCCTCAGCTGAGCTACTATTGGGAGGTAGTGGAAATGTGAAGTGGTGGGGCCTAGTGGGAGGTTGTTAAAGTTACAGTCTCAAAGTGGTTTGTAGGATATTAGTCTCCCCACCATTTCTGGCTGCCATGATGTGGGTGTACTCAGCCATGTGGTCTCACTGAAGCCAAAGCAGCAGAGCCAACCAGTCATGGACTGAAAACTCTAAAATATGAGCAAAGTAAACCTTTTCTCTTTTTAAGTCAGTTTATCTCAGGTATTTTATTATAGTCATGGAAAGCTAACACAATTAGTAACATTATTTGCTAACATTTTCTATATTGTATTTTTCTTTATCTAATTTTATTTATTTTTACCTTTTTCAGCTATATTAATTTATAGTACTTTAAAACACTGAAATTAGGTATCTTTAATGCAGAAGCCAGACAAGACTCCTCTTTCTTTTGCTTACTGCCTTTTTTCCCACTTATACATTTAATTATATCTAAAATTGCATTATATATTTCTCAACTAGTTAAATTTTTTTTTTTTGTACCGAGGATTGAACTTGGGACCTTGCGCTTGCGAGGCAGGTAGCGGAACCACTGAGCTAAATCTCTGGCCCTAGTTAAATATTTTAAATCGTAAAAATTTAGGATTATGTGAAGACTTAAAGAACACTTCCAAAACTGCTTCAGAAAATGGCAAGAATAATGGGATAAATGTGAGGCAGTGTTTGTTGAGGGAGATTAATGGCAACATGTCCTTGACTAATAAAAATTGTTTTGGGGTACCAGGGATCAAACTCAGGACCTTGTGCTTGCGAGGCAGGCATGGTGCCACTGAGCTAAATCCCTGGCCCTTGACTAATAAATTTTTAAAATTTAAATATTCATATATTTCTTTTAGGCCTTGTATGAAAAGGTGCCGTATCTCACATTAACACACATATTCCCTCTGTCTCTATCTCTCTGTCCCCTTCCCTCCCTCTCTCTTCCTTCACAGAGCTCATAGGACTGTAGATCTTAACATCCCTATGAGGGAGAGGACAAAGGAAACCACTCTGTCTAAGAAAAGCAGACACTAAGATGCAACACAGAAGAGTGAGTGGCCTGTGGTAAGGTTGTCAATGCTGTTCCATTATTGTGCCAGATAACTTGGACTCTAAACTAAAAAGGACATGAAAACATTATCATTTGTAGCCAGATTAAATCTAAATTTAAATTATCTTCTAAAATTGCTTCTCTTAAAAAGAGCTCAGAAATGAACAATGTGTATCCTGTTAGAATGTTAATCATCCTGTCAAGAAAGTCTTTCTAACAAACACATTAGTAAAAACTCTTTGCATTTGAATGGTCCCATCTCCCATGGAAAGTATCAAATGGTCAGGCTCTACTCCACTGATGATGTAAGGCTTTCTTATTCTTAAAATTCTTCTCAAATCCATCTGTCTCATCCTTTAAACTGAATCATTCCAGTAAAAACCAGGTTCTGCAGCAGACATAGCCAATAAACATGTACTCAAATCACAGCTCTGCCACTTTCCAGCTTTGTTACTTCAATCAAGTGACTTCATTTCTTGTGCTTTAGCTTTCTCTTTAAAAAGAGATAATAATAGTTCCTAGATCACTGTATCATTATATATAAGTTTATGGTTCCTGTCCATAATCCAGGGCACATAATAACCACTTAGTAAACTTAATTTTCAAGACAATTTCTAGGAATTTATCATAAGGAATTAATTTTACATTTGCAAGAAAAATATGTTCAAGGATTATACTAGCAAGATTTTATAACATCAAAGCTTTATAAAAAAACTGTCTAATAATATTGACTAAATTTTATTCTACCCAAACAATCTACCAAGTAGCTTAGGCTTGCTTTTTGTTTGTCTTTTGTAGTACTGGGGACTGAATTCAGGCCCTTTGCACTGAGCTACATCCCCAGCTCTTTTTATTTTGAGACAGGGTCTCACCAAGTTGCTAAATTGCCCAGATGGGCCTTAAACTTTTGATCTTCCTACCTCAGCGTCCCAGAGTGCTGAGATTATAGACATGTGCCACCATGTCTGGCTATGATCCCAGTTTTATAAAAAATAAAGCCCATGGGTACATTAGAACTACAATATAGTTATGCACATTGTTCAAAGTATCTACCCTGGATCTGAAACAGTAGGTTTCAGAGGATCTGAAGTAGGATCTGAAACCTAGCTGTGCTTTGCTTATCAAGCTACATCTTGGTGCAGGATTGCATTCACCCAGTGAATAGGATGCTTTTGGCTAAATTGTACCAAAAACTAGTGCTAGCGTCAGCCATGTGTATATAGGGACAGAAAAAAAGAAACAGACTAAAATGTAAATACTGATCATCTTACCAGGATTCCAGGAGATGCTTATTTTCTCCATTATGGTTTTCTGTATTTTCCCAGTTTTCTACAGTGAACACAATTTATTGCTTTTAGAAGTATAAGATAATAAAATTTACTTTAAAAACAATTATATTAAAGAAATACAATCAAAACTACAATGAGATATCACTCAAACCCATTAGGATGACTAAAAAATAACAAATTGTTGGCCAAGGATAGGGCCAAATAAGAACCCTTGAATATTGTAAGTAATCAAGTAAAATAGCACAGCTCTATGAAAAAACAGTACAGCAAGTTCCCCTAAAAAATTAAGAACAAAATTACCATATGATCCAGCAATCCTAATTCTGGGTATATATCCAAAAGAATTAAAAGCAGAATCTTGAAGATATTTGTACACCCACATCCATTGCAGCCTTGGTCATAAAAAGTGGAGACTGGCAACTTGAATGCTGAGCTTCCCACCTGTCTCTCCCAGGGTCATGCACCCTTCCTGGGGGCAGCCTACATCCAGTGACAGATCAATGCAAGAATAAAAGTTCCGTCCACTCAGTGCATCCGAGAAGGGCTATGCCAGTTCCAGAGTCCCCTGGGATCAGCTGAAGCCTTTGTTGAGACCGGGCCACAGGTCCACTTCCCCCTCAGCTCAATCCTGCTGCCTCTATTCCTCTATAGGTGTGGAGTCCAAGAGCAAATAAACTTCCCGTGTATGAATCTCTTATCTTCTTAGAGTCTGTTCCCAATGAACACATCCTGTGACACTTATTAAAGAAATCCTTTCAAATGAATGTAAATTATATCTATTGCAAACATATACCAATGAAAGAATCAATATGTCAAAAAGAAAAAAATAACCAGGCATGGTGACTCACACCTGTAATCCTACCATTCAGGAGGCTGAGGCAGAAGGATCGTTGTGAGTTCCAGGCCAGCCTGAGCAATATAGTGAGTCAAGGCTAGCCTGAACTACGTAGCAAGACCCTGTTTCAAAAAGAAAAAAAAAAATCAAAAGAAAAAATGTCCTTTCTTTTCCTGATACTCTATATTTTCTTCTTTCCTTTTATATTTTATCTCTAAGTTTTTTTTAACAAATTTGGAGTTTACTTGTAATATAATAGAGGACAGGATTTGATTGTATGTTCTCCTTACAATGAGCTGATTCTCCCAAAGCCATTTGATAAACAATCCA